CACATCAACTTACGATTGCTATGCTAAGGATCACAGATGCTCGTTTGGACAGATGTCAAGGGACGAGAGAAATGGCCTATACCCATTGTCTGCAGCACTCCCATTACCCATCATTATGTTTTTCTTTGATATCGGCCACATCCTCAAACCTTTTCACTGGTCAGAAACCCTGACAGTTGAATATGGAGGACCATATGTAGTTCAGAACTGGCTGAATAAAAGAAGAACACAGTGGAGAGCAAAGGGAGGTCTCTGGTGCCCTCTGACCTCACTGTTCTGTGGCTGGTTAGAAATAATAGTGTCTTGGAAAGTTTTTGTTTCTGTCCAGTTCTCATCACTACTGGTTTGAATAACGCTTGTCTTATGCGTTATTAGAATATGTTCATTTTCATTTTGGGAGACGATTGGTTGTTCCAATGACAAAGAGTCCGAGTCTTCCCCTGTAGATGTTACCTCCTTACTTTTTGATGTTCCTTCTGATTTGAAATGTGCTCCACTTTCTATTTTCAAGGACTCTTCTTCCAATATGATAAAATTTTCTGGATTAGCTGACACACTCTCTTCTGAGCTTTCATTACTAGTTGGACTCATCCATAATTTCTCACAAACATTTTGTATCTGTTCCATTTCCTGAATATCGGCAGGATGAAACATGCCTGGGCTTTCTGCTTCTAAGTCGTCAGTGAGTTGAATTGCGGGACGAGTTAATTTTGTTCCCTGGCACAATGTTGTTCCCATGGCGTCGTATGTAGAGATACGTGGCTTTATAACCATGTCACTAGTTTGTTGTAGGACACTGTTCTCTGCTTCTGAATCCACCTCCTCAGAATCTATGATGGATTCATTACTAAAGCAAATTTCTCTATAGTTACTAACATGAACTTGGTATATTCCATCTGGTCTAAAACTGCAGATTTGAACAGGTCCATCAGGGTTCTGTGTTAAGTCCTCCACAGACAACCAGGAAGATAGTTAAGGACAATTCATTATTGGAGTCCTGCTAGTAGACCGTGCACTGAATATACAGTTTTGAGGTTTTACTTTTTTGGATGGACAACAAGGTGATTCCAATCTCTTATCAATGCTTTTCAGAATAGGCCTGGAAACAGACTGTGCATCATATGTGCAGTTTTGTAGTGTCCTCACTTTTGGTGTGGCTTGACAGACGGGTAGGTCCAATCCCTCATCCACATCACTGATAACTGGACTGCTGTTTGAATGCACATTGTATGTAGAAATTGGTGGTCTTGTCATTTTTGTTCTGGGATTGACAGATTGGGAGCTTCAATCCTTCAGCTTTGCCTTTTTGTGCATCGTATGTACTTTTGCGTAGTATGACAGGACATTCTTTCTCCTGGGTGTTCCTACAATTGGCGTAGTGAACTTTAAAACCACCTTCTTGTGAACGATGGAGAATCTTTGAAGGTTGGTCATTCGTACTGCCTGAATGTGAGGATTCTAAACTAGAATTTGCACTAGCCAAATCCTCATAACAATAGCTATCTGACATAGAGCTTGTTGTATTTATAAATACCCTGACACACTAAAACGCATGTGTTTGGTGACCTCTGGAATTCTGGGTTGGAGGCCAGTCTTTTCTTATACATCAGAGGTGTCTTCTTGTGCCATCAACTAAACAACAGATGGATTCTGCTGTTTGGATTTCACCCCCTAGTATCGGCTTCTGCTGACTTCTGCACTTTTCACCTCACTCCATCAGGAGTGGGTTGACATGACTGGAGTCTTCTAGCCATACTCATTTGTCATATGATAATACACATAACCTTTTTTAACATATATTTACTTCATATTTTAGGTGATTTCATGTACTTAGATATTAGGATATTAGTGTGATGTGTTTGTACTGCACAATAGGTTTGTTCTTTAGGAAAGCGGGCTGTTGAGACTAATTAGGGGAGTTGTTTAGACAGCAGAGATTGATCCCAGACTAGTGACAGCTGCTTGGAGCCTTAGGTTAGGAAGCATGAATTCTTTTTAGGTGGGGAATGGAGACGAGGAGGCCAGATGGTGCGGAGGTGGATCTCAGACCGGAAGCTGCCTGATACGACACGCCCCCCTTCTTCCTGAACATCTCCTGATATGCTCTGGCTTGAGGAGGGGGCAGAGAGTCAGCACAGGGCCAGCGAGGGACAGGCATAATGTAGGAGCTTGTTGAATTTCTGTATCTGATTGTAAGGAAATTAAATACAGATGTTAAACTTGGATATCTTCGTCTGTTTTCTGTATCAAACTTTGAACACGTCAGTCAAATCTTTTTTGACAACAAGCTGAACGTATCACTAGAAGACACTATTGAGGGTAAAAGCAAATTAACATATAATCGCCTTTGTCTCTTGGGTTTTTGTACCTCCGCGATTGGATGATAACGTGGTGTGAAGGCCAATAATTTCCCAGAATCTGCAACATAGTCTAAAGCTGTTCTGAAGTGGCTCATGGTGATAAAAGGGTGCTTCAGTGCCTCAGCCGGAGTAATCCTTTTCTCCGCATCAAACTCAAGCATTCTCTTTAGCAGATCCAGAAAATCCCTCCTGTCCTCGTATTCCATTCCTGACTGAATTTCAAAAGAATTGAGGACAGCATCATCTAGCCCTGTGGCGGCTTCAAGAAAGTTCTTTTCTAATTTAGGTATTTTTCCATCTGGGTCCCTGTATTCAAGAGGAGTCTTCAGCCTCCATTGTCCATATTTTCCCTGGACAAAGAAGGTAGTTCCTGCTTCAGCCCGCATAATTAGATCGCTATCAGGGACCCCCAATAGATGAGTGATTTGGCGAAGGCTGTCATACGAGTTTTCAACGTTGAATGGAAAGATTTGTAAATACCATTCCAGAAGACAACAGCCCAGGCTCCACATATCAATTGCCTCCGTGATCGGCAGGCCCAGGGTAACCTCTGGAGAACGGTAAGCGGCTGGTTGCAAGATTTCTCCTATTTCTGCCTCCTCCTTAAGCAGGCATGTCAAAGTCAAATACATCAGAGGGCCAAAAAAAAATGTTTGCTACGCGCCGAGGGCCGGACTGGTTCAATGTTTCTCAACATCCAGAGGCAGTGCCGGTGACACCTGTTGGCTCGATAAAATATGCTCTAAAGCCAATCCTCATACTGTACATATTAGATGTAATAGACATCTGAGAACATGAAAATAGTTTTAAAAAAAAAGCTCAAACTTGGTGAAATGTAAAAGAGCAGTCTGGACCTCTTTTCGGGGCGTTTTTTGATTAAATCTGCAGAATGGATTATACTTTGGGAAATACAAGTGGATATTCTTCTTCAATAGACAGTTACGGAGAGAAAGCGACTAAGCAAGGATGGGGAAAGTCTAATTTGTTGGAGCAGCAGAAGACGAAAGGTAAAAAACAAATACAGACGTGATTTATTTTGTGCCCATATTATGCGTTATATCTTTTTAATGCAAAGTCTGATATTGTTTACACTTACATATAAATATAGCTGAGAAAATAAGCTTTAAAATGATATATAGCTTGTGGCTTATGAAGTTCAAAATACATCTGTTATTGCCAGCAGATGTATTTTTTTCCTCGTTTGCTCCCGCCGGCGGGGGCTAGCGAGCTTAAGGGGTCAATACATTGCCTCAATGGCAGGCAATGTCCCGGGGGCCATAGATAATTCATTCGCGGGCCGGATTTGGCCCGCGGGCCTTGACTTTGACACATGTGTCCTTAAGGATAGCCACTCCAAAATCTATGAGTTTGACCTTGAATGGCTCGTTTTTGTGATCCAACAGCATAATATTGTCCGGTTTTAAGTCTGTATGTATGACACCCACCTCTCGTAATCCTTTTAAGGCGACCAGAATCTCTTTGGTCATTGGGCGGATTTCACTCAGAGAAAATGAGGAATTTCTCTTAGTCATCAAATCATACACACTCTGGTCCAACATTTCAAATTCCATGAAATAGCCATCTGTGGATTCAAACCAGTCGTTTAAACGAATTAGGTTATTTGTGTCTGGATCCAGGCTGTCAATGGCTTGGAGCGCTGTTATCTCTTGCAGCATTGTTGAAGCAGCACTTTCATTCATTTTGATGTGCTTCACTGCCACAATTTCTCCAGTCTCCTTATGGATGCATTTGAATACTTCTCCAAAAACACCTTCTCCTAACTTCTCCAACACATCGTAGGCATCCAGTGCATAGACTGCTCCACTCATGTTTAGGAATTGTTGTAAACCAATAGATACGATCAAATACGAGTTTATCAAAGTGCTGTAACCAACACGCGATATGAACCGGCAACGGAAATAGCTATCAACTATAATGTGGTTTGACCTGGGGTGATAGGCTGTCTCAGCAAAAGAAATTGAGAATTTGTCAGGGAGTGACATCACAAAATGATAGTGGCCATAACAACCGTTGCCATTACAACCGTTGCCATAGCTGTAACCATTCCAATGGATTTTCAGTAGTTCCAGAAGACCATGGAATAGAATACATGCAGTTCCAGAAGCCATGTTTTCCTATACAATTTCTACTGTAACAAATTTAATCTGATTAATTTAAACTAATCAGTTATCGACAGAGTTGTCAACTAATTTAGTAATCAATTACATAAAGATAAAACATGGTGATAAGAGGTTTCATGACTGCTTCTATTACAACAACATAATTAAATGAAACGGTTTTACTAAGTATTCTTACTCAACAACCAGATATGTAACAAGTAAGCTCTGAGAAAATGCTTTGGTAATGAATTCATTAATGAAAAATGCATTTTTTTTTTTTTTTTAATCAGACCACAACATGACTTTAAAGTAGCTCTGCTTGTTTACAAGTCTGTCCATGGCCTCAGACCAAAGTACGTCTGTGACATGCTATATGAAACTAGTTTGAGTTGCCTTGTGTACCACTTGTATACGCTGTTCATAAACTCTGGAGGAGTCACATGGTTAGAGAAACCTGGTTTCAGTTTCAGTTTTTTACCAAAGACTAACCCAGTAGGAGAAAGGTGTTAAAGGCACGTACACATGTCCGGTTTCGTGAGCCACCACAAAGGCAGAGGAGAATCCGTCTTCGTGGTTCAGAGTGCAGCTGCGGACTGGGTGGCACATCCCCGTGACTGGAGCATAACCTAGCAACACAACACCGACAAATATAAGCATAGTTGCAAAATTAAGGGGAAGTTTGTAAAATTTCTGTAGGACTTTTCAAGAGTACTTATGCATACAAATACAATTTAGAATATCGATCAAAAGTGAATTTATTTCTGTAAATTTTTCTAAAATGTGAAACCAATACAATGATTTGCATTGTACAATGACATGTGAAGCCTTTGTTATAATAGAGAGATAGATAGATACTGTATGGGTGTCCAGTAGCAGCAGAAACACAATTGTAGCTTACAGTCTATTTTTGTATTTAAAAATGTGTGAATTGTAATATAATATTTAGGGATGGTATAAGCTCTTAGACAATTATCAACACTATAACCCATTTATTTTATTTAGATAGATGGATACTTGATTCCTCATAAGGGAAGTTCAGGTGTGCAGTAGTAGCAGAAACACATCCACCCATACAAACAAAACAAATAAATACATCCATCCATCCATCCATTTTCTACCCCTTAATCCATTTCTGGGTCGGGGGGGTGGCAGTCAGAGATGCCACCCAAGTCTCATAGCACCAGCCCCTCACTGATCCTCCTGCAGGTGGTGAGTCCACAGGAGGATGGCTGCTCTGTCAATGTGAGCATAGCCATGATCTCTCAGCGGGGGCTTTTGGGCAAGGTGGGGTTAAGTGTCTTGCCCAAGGACACAACGACAGCAGTCATCAGTGGGAGTCGCTGGAGAAGGTGTCATGGTGGGAATAAATACATCATTCTAAAAATAGCTAACAATAGTATTAAAATGCAACAGCACCTTTTACAGATGGAGTAGCAAAAAGCTTTTTCTGATGAGGGCATTATTTGTCACACTCTATGCAGAGCTGGACATGGGGTTGCCATACAGGAGTGCATGCCGAACCTATTGTACATGTTTTAGCGGTATGGATAAAACCGCAGCAACTGTAGGAAACCTATACAAAGAGAGAACATAGAAACTCCACACAGAAAGTCCCTGTCTGGCACTGGAATTGAACACCACAATCCTGAGTATTTCTTCTGAATTATTTCCCATGTCAGAAGTTGGGAAAAATATGTGTATACAGTATGTTCTTCAACACAAGTTCGCTCCGTGGTGTGTGGCCGTGACAGAAAAACAATGCAGCAAGGTTTTTCTGTCAGTTTCTGTCACACGGATATTGTGTGAGCGGGAACGCAGCGGGTGGAGGCGGAAGTGGAAGAGAGCGCATCCCACAAAGAAGCACATCCGAACAATCAGACCGTATAATTAGTGCTTATTTACACTTTCTAAACTGCGGCATAAGTGAAATAAATCATCAGGGACAGACAGATGCTGTACAATCTAAACTGTTTTACAATTGCATGTTTTCTTGTGGGAACAGAAATTCAATGGTAAACAGAGACCATGACACTGCAAAAAAATGATACAATTTGAGATAATGTTTTTAAAAACATCTTTTTTAAGCTATTTAAGTATCCATCCATCCATCCATTTTCTTCCGCTTCATCCGTTGCCGGGTCGCAGGGGCAGCAGTCTAAGCAGAGACGCCCAGACTTCTCTATCCACACACACCTCCTCCAGCTCGTCCAGGGGCAGGGGGACCCCAAGGTGTTCCCAGGCCAGCTGAGAGACATAGTCCCTCCAGCGTGTCCTGGGTCTTCCCCTGGCCTGACTTGTAAATGAGATTGTCTATTTGTTTTAGCATCATATGACGTTTACTCTGTTTAGTCATATTTATGTCATGAATGTGGAACTCAAATGCAGGACTGCAAACGTACGTGAATGAATCATCCAAAACTCAAAAATAACAAATGCCAGGTAAAAACAGAAATCCAAAATCAAACCGTGTGGGAAACAGGACAGAAAACATGTACGCCAATGTGGTTTTACTCAAAATGGCACAAAAAATGAATCTGAAATGAATGTATGAAAACACAATGGAACGACAGCAAGAAGAGCAGAGGGTGAAACAGTCTTCCTGAAAACATGACACAGGCTTTTTCTTTGACTATGTTTGAATTCAGGTTAAAGGCAGTTCTGTTTAGCTGTACATAAAACTGAGATACTTGTTTTGTTAAGCACTTTAAATTGCTTTGTGTATGAGCTGTGCTATTTATTTGTGAGTCCTGCCATAGATAATAACCCGAGCACCGGTAGAGACACAAGGTTACAAGACATATCCGCGGATAGCTGAAGGGATAAAATCATATCTATTATTTCTGACAGCTGGGTATATTTTGAACGAGGCCAAATAGTCAGCACATTCATTCTTTAAAACACAAAATACATTTGATCCTGATGTCAAAGCACATTGCATTCACTGATTTTGAATGCGATGTATTTTGACTTTGGCTTTGTGATCTGATCCCTGGAGGCTGGATAACACAGAGCAAATGAAGAGCACATGGAAACAAACATGCAGCTTTATCAGGTAACATGACACGCCTGGCACGATCTACTACCGCTTCTGTAAACGAGCCTAATCCTTTCTGTCAGTGGCTGCAACATCAAAGCCATTATTTAATCTGAAGAATCAGCAAGTGGGCCTCTGGGAGTTCTCCTTTTGTCATACACCATCAGGGTATACTTATTGATGTTTTAAAGATTAACCATGATGCATTTGTTTTGCCATTAGAAAAGGAAAGTAATTATTTGGGTGTGGTCACTTCATGTTTTAGAATGTGAAATACTATATCAAGTAGAAAATATATATAAGTATCAAGGGTGAACAATGCTATCTGCCTGCCATATCCCTATGCTACCACAAGAGGAAGATTTTTTTTTTCCTCTTACAATTTTAAACATTAAAAGAAACACAGACTTGATTGTAAAGAACTTAATTTATTTTGCAGAAATATTTGAGATAGTTAATGTAATGAACATCATATTTGCTCCCTAACGTCTCACAATTTGGATCGTACATTTGAACGTGGATGGCGTGACCATAGAATGATAGAAGCGCGGAGGAACGAGACTTTCTTTTGGATGTATGTCTCGCTGTGTAAGCAGTAACCGGTAACGAAGACATGGGAAGCTTCAGGTTAGCCTCCGCCGTTTGTTTACCTCAGCTGTCTGTGCTAACAAGAGACATGTGGCTTTTCTCAAGAAAGTGGGGGCCAGTGGTCCGATGTGATCACAATCTGGTCCCGAACACATTCTCTTCCTTGTTGCATGAAAACTCGATCTAAAATAAAAATGTCACGCCAGCACAAATCTGCGCCACTTTTTCTTCAAAAGGACGTATTTCCCAATGCACTGCATGGATATGGATTGAATTTACGTAATGAATAAAAAAATACAGTCTTTAATTGGTTTAAAATAACTAATTGAACTGGAAACAGACCAAATTTCTCATTATTCTGAACCCCGTGGATATGTTTGGGAATAAAAGGCTCAAAGTAAAAGAGTCAACGTTTTGATTACATGATTATCTCTTGATTAGTAAATACAACAAAAATAAAAACAAGTAATAGAATGTATAAAGGGAAATGGAGTGATGTCAGAGTAGCTTTGGGCTTTTACCAGATGGAGAAGATTTAAGCTGTGATAACAAGCTCCACATTTGAAGCCCAAAGGTCTAATAGCAACCTCATAGCAACCAAAGAACCAATCAGGAACAAGACAAGTCTTCTAATCCTTGTGCTATGTTAAAACCTAAACCTTAGTGTCTGACTCAAAGTACAAAACAGAAAGATCCCATCTACGATCACTTGGATGACTATGGCTTTAACAAGCTATAGAATTATCACTATCTATCAGTCTATATTTTTGACGCTGATTCAAATTTACTTGATGCCTTTGAATCCATCATTGGAAGTTTTTTTGTAAAACTCTTATCATACAAATATTATAAGCACACACTTTTGGCAAATAAAAACAACACAACATGTTTTCACACACGTTCAGATGCTGCAGCAGGGATCATTGAATTTCCTCAGCGCTGTTTAATGCACCACGATTCATATTAAGGTTTGTTTTTTTCGTCGTCTAACTGAACTATTTTCTGCCAAGCCCCTCTTAGAAAGAAGAACACATTTTGCAGCCCCCTCCTTAGGTCTTTAGATTGGCTCAGAAAATCCACTCTCAAACAAAAAGACATGGACACTTCCAGGGTCTCCCATAATCCACCTCTGTTTCTTGCAGCGGTGTATCAATCAATCAATCAACGTTTATTTGTAGAGCGCCTTTCCTACACAAGGCAACACAAAGCGCCTCACAACCCATATTACATCATGCATAAATCATCAAACATTAGAATTTAAGTAAACATTCATTAAGTGCATAGGTTACACAATGACCCGCACTTGCAACAAGCTGCAGGGAAGGGTCCTGTCCGCACTGGTCACATTATGGCCACGCTGCGGCTGTGTGCTCGCAATGCTGTTGTCAAAGCCGCTTTCACAGGCCGCTGGAAGCGGGACCCGCTGTCATTCACAGCAAAGCAGCTGCAATTTCTTCGGGGGTTAGAACGGGTCGGCAACGGAAGATGTGGAATCCGTTTGAATACGCACTGCAAAAAACAGCAATTTCTCCGCTGCCACACGCGTCACATGGGGCCCGCGCGACAATTTTAGAAGGACTGGTCTAGCTAAACAAAACATCCAAACATGTGCGGCAAGGGTTTTGGACCTCACCAGTCTGAGTGGTTTGCGGGCAGAGACCAAATGAGACTTGATGTTGAGTCCATATTCTCTTTGTATCTAATTTTCTTTTTGTTTGATACAAACGGTTTGTTCCTCTCGCCTGTTTTTAGTGACAAAGAAGCATCAAACGAAGAACCCTCCCCCAGCCCTGCATCCCCCCTCTGAGCCCCTGGGTGAGACAACATGACAGCCTGTTGTGTATCATGCCAACCAAGTCAATACATGAAAAGCCAAGTCTGTCATCACTTTGAACGGGTGCACGCACAAGGCCGCACAATTAAAGTAACCTTGGATTTACTCACACAGCCAATGGGAATGAGGAAAATACATACAAGTGACTGG